TCACGAACCAAACGTCTCATATATATATATATATATATATATATATATATTCCTTTGAGAACGTAGCTATAAAAGCGTCATTATTTGCTGGTCATTTGAACAGTTCTCTATGCATGCGTGAGTGAAAGAGATCTTGTGTGTGTGTGTGAGAGAGAGAGAGAGAGAGAGATGGGAAGGCGACCTTACTGCTCCAAAGTGGGACTTAACAAAGGAATATGGACGAAGCTAGAAGATAAAATTCTTACAGATTACATAACAGTCCACGGTGAAGGAAACTGGAACAATCTTCCCAAGTTGGCTGGTATAGTCTTATTACCTTATTTTTCTATTTGTGCCTCCGTTTTTTCCCCCTTTTTTCCTCTTTGATTTCAATCTAGTTAGGACGTTTGATGTACTTTGATACTATTTGCTCTTTCTCATCATTTACTAAAAAAAGTTATACGTATTAGATTTTTTATCCTTTTTTAATTCTTTATATATATATATATATATATATAATTGTTTTGGATTAACATTGTTTATTTTTTACGTCCGACTTGTAAGTTTCCTATTTTTGACTAAAAGTTTAGCGAGGAGATCCGCATTAGCAACTTGCTACACCTTGTTTTATAATTAGTGGCGAACATCGATCAATTTGTAACTATTTTGTTCTTATTAGTTTTTTAATTTCTTCGTAATTATTCATGTGCTATTCACAAATAGTACTCAACTAGCTCTTTAAGTTTACCATTTATTTTTCCAAATGTTTGCAAATAATATTATAGGTTAATTCTCACGAAAGTGAAGCTATAACTGTATTTTCACATATGAGTGCTTATATATAAATGTGTGTGTGTGTGTGTGTATGTATATGTTTATACATGTCTATGGATCATATGTTTGTGTATCGTGAAGTTTGGACTGGTACTAAAATATAACCGCAAATATGCAATGTATATACAGGTCTAAAACGTTGTGGAAAGAGTTGCAGGCTTCGCTGGATGAATTATCTCAGACCAGACATAAAGAGGGGAAATATATCTCCAGATGAAGAGGATCTCATTATCAGAATGCATAAGCTAGTTGGAAACAGGTAAAGTTTTTATCCTCTCTTTATTATTTTTTTTTATTTCTTTGTTTTTAAATTTAAAGTGCTTTATTTAATATCATACCATTATTAATTTTAGCGTTTTGTCCCCTCGTTAATTAGATGGTCACTAATTGCAAGAAGACTTCCAGAGCGAACAGACAATGAAATAAAGAATTATTGGAACACAAATTTGAGGAAAAAATTGGAACCTCCACGTACTTCCAAGGTTACCAAGAGTAAGCGCAAATTCACCAAAGAGAAACGCCCAAAACAAGCTTTGGGGCCTAAAAATAGTGTAGAGTCATCACCGCCGGCGCCGCCTGTGAAACCAATCCGTACCAAAGCCTTTAGAGTCGTCACAAGAAAAACACAAACGCTAATAAGGCCTACAGAAATCAAAATCCCTAGTGGTGTTGATGAAGAGGGTGAAAAGTCTAATGGAGAAATAATGGTTAATTGTCATTTGATCGGAGATGGAGAGCCTGCCCAAGAAGTTGCGAATTTGATGATTGAATATTCTTGCGCAGGCCCTCAAATGAATGACACTACCATTGGACCTTCAAGTGATCACGCATCTTCTTCACCAATGTGGGATGAACAAGGACTTGGGGAATGGTTCAATTCTAGCAGCTCTAATTGTAATGGCTTCATCACTAGCAGCTTTGAGGAAGATTTGAATTTGATGGATTTTCTATCAGTAGCGAATTTTTTAGATTTTGATGAAGAATTATCATGATGAAGAAAGAATAATATCATGCACTTTAATTTTTCATCTTCAAGAATGTAGAATTTAATTTTGTGTTTGGCAGATTATGTTACTTGAAAGGACTTGTTTCAGTTTGACATATTGTCGATGGTCTTTTTTATTCAAAGCCTATCCGAGAGTCTAAGCTCAAAAATCCCATCCTGCAACGCGTTTGGATTCATTCCGTGGACTTAAATCATGCTCGGAGAACTCGCGTGTTAGTAGTTTGATGGGCTATGAGTAATCAAACCGGTTCATTTGTTTTCAATTGATCAATTCAATTTTAGATCCCACTTATGGGTTTTTAATTAATTGGATTAGGATAAATGAATGATGCAGAATTTAAGGAAAAAAAAAAAATACAAAATTTAAAAAAAAAAAAAAAAAAAAAAAAAAAAAAAAAAAAAAAAAAAACTCCTTTTTTCCATTTTGTAAGCCCCAAGAAAACATTTATTTCACCATTTGAAAGCCCAAAAATTATAAACCAACCTATAGAACCTTCCCTACTAGCAAGAATGACAAAAACAAAAACAAAACAAAAACAAACAAAAAAATCATTTTGGAGCCATTTGCAGGGTTTCTTCAGACCTCTAGAGGTGTATTAATTCACTTTTTCATGTCTACAATCCACAAATTGTGAACTTATATCGTAGAATTATTGATTTATATAACTATTTATGTTTGAAATATGAGATACTTAAAAGTTGAATTTTGGATATAATTATAATATTTTTAAATAGTTCATATATAAATGTCATAAATGGAAAAATTTAAGAAGGGCAAGAAGAAAAAATATATAAAAAATTAGTTCGGGTAATATTAAAGAGATAACTTTAGCCAGTTGGGGCGGCCATCCCCAATCAATCTAAAGTCATTCCGCAACTGATAATAAATTAAGATGGCCATGATTTTAATTACAGACGATTTTTATGTAACGTTAGCGCTTATTTTCATTTTAGCAATTTAAAGTTATCATGGTTTAAATTTATAGTTTATGTTGCTTGAACATTTAGCATCTTGGAAATGTTGTAAATTAACCTATATTATATTGTTTAAAAGTGTCGTTAAGAAATTAATTCCATTTCCAACCGTAAGTATCAACTTTTTGGCATGCATGCACAAAAGTCATAAAAAGTCAGAGAGCACAAAATTTAGTTAAAACACTGCTTCAAGCCTCCAAAGAAGGTCTAATGTCAGCCCAAAATCTATTTCTTTGTCTCTCGTCCTTCCCATTTTTTATCACTTTTGTTCTAAAGGGAAGTTCAGTGTTGAAGGTGTTTTCTAGAGCACAGTGGTACAATTCTGGAGAAACCGCCAAAATCCTCCCAATTTCTCCTATAAATATTACATTTCCTCATCACTTCAAGAGAAACATCAATAACCTTACTCTCTCTTTGTAAGCTGAAACTCTAGTCATCTTTTTCTCCATTTTTCCCAAGTTTGTGGCCTTCAAATTTGGCGTTTTCCTTCAAGTTTGTGCTCTTCAAACTTGAAGAATCATCGAATGTTCTTGGGGTAACACTTTAAGGCCGCCATAGATATTTCTCAACCCTAGAAAATTCCTTAGGAACTTCCCCATATCATCTCTCAACAACTATTGAAGAGTCCTTGAAGTTCTTGAGCTTTTCTGATGAAGTTCGATTCCTGTTTAATCTCCAGAGTACATTTTGAAGTGCCGAAAATTTTTTCAAAACTTTGCCATTATAATCATCCTCAAAAGGCCTTCGTATTTCATCACTTTTCTAAAAATATATACCAAAATTCCCCCTTCAGAGCAAGTCTCGACCAGTGCCATTATCACATCCATTTTCATCTTATAACCCTTCAGAGGCAATTTTTCCTCATCCTCAAAATCCTTATCTGAGGAGACCTAGGTTCGTCTTCTGAGCATATCTTTAGAGTGTCAAAAAGCCTCAAAACTTCACCACTATATTCATCACCAAAAGGTAAACTCGTCCTGCTACTTTTTTTAGTTTTGCGAGGACACCTATAATTTTCCTTCGAAGCGTCTTGAGCATGTCTCTGGAGCAAGCACCTACTAGTGCCACCAGAAATAACCTTATCGAACCCTCCAAGTCTTTTCTCCATCAACTATTTGGTTTACTTCTCCTACTATTCTTCGTTAACATTTTGGTTGTTTATTGTCATATTTTTGCTCTCTCGTTTATTTTGTGGCGATATTTTGATTATTGGGCAATGCAGTAGGCCCTAGAAAGTAGAACCGCTTATCTTCGGTTCATGTTGGGCCCAGCGGTCCCTACTATTTTATTAGAGGTCCTACGTACCATCATCATTTTTTATGAGATTGTTAGGTTAATTTGGCATCGCTAGAGTAGACACCAACAAACTATCCACTTGTGCATGCGCACCCCTAACACGTCACACTCTCCGAATCTACCAAAGCCTAAGAAATTAATTATGTCCATATTATACTTATACTATGTATTTGTTTGTTTGAATATATTGATGATTGATAAGTGTGTAATTTGATATAGTTTTCCAATCAATTTTTCCATCGTTTCCTTGCTTGATTCTTGAATATTTTGTGTTTTTATTATGATTTTGTGTTTTAGAGGTTAAAATGAGTTTGAAAGCTCAAAAGAATCAATTTAGAGAAGTTTCGGGCATTTAGGCTCTGAAAATGAGTGCCTTGGCACTATGAGACGCAAAATCAGGCTAGAACCCAAGACCAAAGCACCTAAACAGGGGAGCCGTGCAGCTAAATCTTAATGCTTTTGATCAGAAAATTAAAAGCATTAAGATCAATAAAATAAATACAAACATGAATGAATGAACCTCATTGAAGATAAATACTTGGAATCAAATATTCATGTCTTGGCTACACTTGTAGCCCTAGTCAAGAAATCTACAATATAGTTGAAACTAAAAACATGATAACAATAGAATTCAACATAAGAAGTCCAGAAAAGAGAAAAATTATTTGTCGAATTCGAAGTTGAACTCTATTTTCAGATGAATCCTCTTCTCCTTCGTCGTGTCATAATCTCTCCCTTCTTCTCTCAGCCAAAAAGTCCCTAAATAAAAAGGTGCAAGGCAATTACAAATTTAAAAAAAAAAAAAAAAAAAACAGCAAATAATCACAAAGGAATATTCATTAATGTTGGGTCCGTTTTTTGTCGCTGGTGTCACATAAAGTGTTATAACACTTTACTATAACATTGTTTTAATAGAAAACCAGATATTAAACCAGCAAACCAGAAATGCAGGAAAATAATGCATAAACGTAAAGAACACCAGAAAATCGTATCGCAGTTCGGTGCGCACACCTACTCTGCGGGGCCACGCCCAGACAATGAACAATCCACTAAGTTCAAAGGATTACACACACCAATCGGACTTATATACCCAAAGACTCCTTCCTTGACGTTGTCGCCGCCGTGTCGAATCTCCTTAATGGCCTTGTCCAGCGAGCACCACTCGTCTTCAAAACTGCACGGTAAAATCCCTTCAACTGGCAGTGCGCTTTCTCCAGAAAGCTTCTAATCCTTCTCCCGAAGGACGATCTTCAATCAACACATAAAGGCTCACTCTCACATAAACTTTTTCTGAATATTTCTTCTATAAAATCTATGCCCCAAATGTCACTTTTAATTTCTAAAAGCTCAAAGACATAAAAAATAATTTCTCTTCCTCCCGAGGCACACACCTTCACGTACACACATGCAATATATATAATAATAGCACCAATCTAGATTTTTCTGTTTTCAGCCCTGTGTCACACCACTACACGTTCTGTCATTGCACTCTTATTCAACCTATCTCAAGTCCGGAAGATAATCAGCCATCAATACCAATCAGTCGACCCCTTAATTTTCTGCCAATTCATTCACCGAAAGTCCACCCCTTGATTTTTTCAGCAATCAAATCCTTTGATTTTCAGCCCATAAACATGACAATGAGACTTTCCTTAAGAGGTCTACCAATTTACAATGTCAGCCAATCTTACAACCAATTTGCAAAAAATAAGCCAACACAAAATGCACTAACAATCTCCCCATTTGGCTATTTTTGGCAAAACTAATAAAAAGAACCTATTACAAGATAAAAGATAAAATCCAACTAAAGGGGTTAATTGAATTAAGAGTTCTCCCTATTTTTGACAAAATACAGCCAAAGTTAAAAATAATGCTAATAGAAAAACCTTTTAAAAGTTGTTGTCGCAGAAAGTGTTGCAACACCTGATATAACACTTTTTATGCACATCATCTTTCAGGGTCATTGATCTCTGCAAAACGCTTCCCCTGAGTCCTCTACGAGTCTTACTCCCCCTGAATATAATATTCTTCCATGCATATTGCTTTTATCATCTATCAAAAGCTTAGAGTGACAATTACCACAATACCCAGAGTTAGTAGTACATGCTTTAAAAGAATTATAAACCTTATGACACCTTAAATCAGATTTCCTTACCCACATACGCCTAGAAAATTTGTTTTGCACATCAACCTTCATTTTAGGTGTCCTTCTTGCAGATTTTGGTGGATTAGGGAGCATACCTCTCTTCAAAGCATTCAAATACTTGTAGCATCTCAGTCTTATATGGCCAACTAAACCGCAATAATGACATATGGGAACAAACTTTTTACGTCGTAGGGGTGAGATAATACCTTTCTTACAGAGGATAGTCCGAGATTTAGGAGCGAGTGTCTCCTTCACAAACATTGTCTTGGACGTTGAACATTCACCAGTGTAGCCAAGTCCATGACGATCACAACTTGCTTTTCCTATAGAGAGAATATGATCCAATTTGGTGGTGCCGGAATTCATCATCTTCAAATTTTTCTGAGTGTTCTCTAGTTCAGCCCTTGTTTCCTTCAATTTCTTTTCTCTCTCTGCAGCAACAATTCATAATTATTAACATCTCTCTTCAACATATCACTCTCTTTGACAAGATCATCGACACGTTCCCGTAGAGACTTATTCATTTCACACACTTTAACCCATTTGCTAAACATGGTCTTATAAGCTTC